GCTCAATCACCACCTTCACAAGTCAAACCTTCCACTTTCTCCCTCTCTTTCTTTCTAGTGTTACTTACATTCAATAATGGAGAATACCCTACACGTGGCCATCGTCTCCAGCCCAGGAATCGGACACCTCATCCCCGCCCTCGTCCTCGCCCAACGCCTCGCCGCTCACCACGACGTCCACGTCACCGTCCTCGTCATCACCGCCGCCAACGCGTCCCCACCGGAGACGAGCTCCTGCCTCCACCTCCGTGACGACCTCATCCGGGTAGTCCACCTCCCCCCGCCCGACATCACACGCCTCGTCACCCCCTCCACCCCAGTCGTCGCCCAGATCTGCCTCACCGTCCGCAAATCCTTACCCCTCATCCGCTCCGCCCTGGCTTCCATGGACCGCCGACCGGACGCCCTCGTCGTAGACTTCTTCTGCACAGAGACTGCACCCCTCGCTGCCGAGCTCGCCATTCCCAAATACGTCCTCGTCCCCACCACTGCCTGGTTCACCGCCCTATCCCTCTACTGCCCGCTTCTGGACCGGGAGATCAAGGGGCAGTACGTTGACCAGGTGGAGCCCCTCCGAATCCCGGGCTGCAAACCCCTCAGACCGGATGACGTGGTTGACCCGATGCTGGACCGGGAGGCGCCGGTGTACCACGAGTACAGGGCGATGGGGGAGCGGCTTCTTCTGTTCGACGGGATTCTACTCAACACGTGGGAAGACTTGGAGCGTCATACCCTCAACGCTCTCAGAAAAAACGAGGCTTGGAGTTGGTCAATCCCGGTCCACCCAATCGGCCCTCTCACAAGACCGGTCGACCAAGTTGAAGAGGGCAGCAACAGGAAGCTCATGTGTTGGTTAGACCGTCAACCGGAGGAGTCGGTTGTGTTGGTCTCGTTCGGGAGCGGGGGGACCCTCTCGGCGGACCAGACGCGTGAGCTGGCACGGGGGCTGGAGATGAGCGGGCAGAGGTTCGTGTGGGTAGTGCGGTCGCCCAATAATGGGGGATCCGCGGACGCCGCCTTCTTCGACAGTAACGGGCGCTGCTGCGGGAAGACGACGTTTGATTTTCTGCCGGAGGGGTTCCAAGGGAGGGTGGGGGACAGGGGGTTCCTGGTGGCCGGGTGGGTCCCCCAGGCGGCTGTCCTGGAGCACCGGGCGGTGGGAGGGTTCGTGTCGCACTGCGGGTGGAACTCGACGCTGGAGAGCGTGACGAGAGGGGTGCCGATGGTGGCGTGGCCGCTGTATTCGGAGCAGCGGATGAATGCGGCGTTCCTGGCGGAGGAGGCCGGGGCGGCGCTGCGGGTGTCGTTGTCGGGGGGAGTGGTGAGCGGGGAGGAGGTGGAGAGAGCGGTGAGGGGGCTGATGGCGAAGGGTCAAGTTGTGAGGGAAAAGGTCAGGTGTCTGAGGAGGAGTGCGATGGAGGCCTTGAAGGAGGGTGGGACCTCGCACAAGGCAATGCGCGATATGCTGCACACAATCAGTTTGAGAAAAAGCAATTGAACACAACCCCTTTGATTTTAGCCACATGTTAAATCAATACAAAGTCTAGTGTAAAACAAAATATATATTGTCTGTTTCCTTCAAGCTTATTTGCTGTCTCTGTAAACACAATTGCAATCACACTATTTTGGCAAGTTTCTTCTCATAATTACACTCAATTGCTTCGACTAATAACATGCATCAATAATCAACTTTTTTTTTTTTTTCATGTTTCACTTTTATCTTTTCGAGAGATGCTACGGTCTCGTTACGGAACCATTCCGTCGGGGTTTGTAATCGTTAGATCAACTATCACCGACGATTACATGATGATCTAACAATTACAAATCCCGACGAAATGGTTCCGTAACGGGACCGTAACATCTTTCTATCTTTTCACTAATTTTTCACCAAAGAATCAAATAAAGGACATCTATCTTTTTCATTCCATTATTATTTACTTATTTATTTATTTATTTATTTTCACACTATCTCATCAAGTAACTCTTTTTTTTTTTTTTTTGTTGACAATAATGAAAACTATGAATAAATGACCATAGAGAAAGCTGTGCATTATGTTATGATCAAAACAAAGAAAATGATGTATTTGTACAAAAGTAGGTAATATGCTCTTAGCTCAGCTGGCCGAGCTATGAGCTACTCTAACTAATTGCCTAACTAATTGCATGAGTTAATGACTAACTAAGGTGACTGATTTAACTATCACCACCTTGAAGATTGGAAGGTACATATCTCACTTCAGCATATATAAATTCTTAGCATACACCTTTCCTCGGACAAAATGAACATCAATCTCAATATGCTTTGTTCGAGCATGTTGAACTAGATTTGAAACAAAGAGCATTATTTGTCATTTTGGCTTAATGAATCATATATTAAATGTCGTTTTGGCTATTTGTTCTTATTTTTTCATTTTTAACCCTCCATCAATGCACAATGTCTCTTCATATCCCATCTCCATAGTTTTCCAAAACATTCATTAAATAAGGTTAATATTAGCAAAAAAAATATTCATAATTAGCGTATTGCTTCTCAAACGACAAATAATAAAAATAGGAGAGAGTATAAGCCAAGCTCTTAAAGCAATGTCTGCACCCAAAGAAGATCTGTGGTGGTATTGACAAGACTCTTGTACTCAAATTCTGCACTACTTCTAGATATAACCGACAACTTCATAGAGCTCCAACTGAGAATATTAGGACCAAAGAAGATGAAATGGCCACCAGTGGACCTCCTATCATCAACACAACTTTTCCAGTCTGCATCTGTATACGCTTCAACTGTGAACCATTGCACTGTTTGAAAATGAAGACCAACTATAATAGTTCCCTTAATGTACCTAGGAAGATGCTTACAAGCAAGCCAATGATGCAAAGTAGGATCGTAGAAGAACTTACTAAGCTTATTCACAACAAATGAAATATCAGGTCTTGTCATGTTGAGATACTAAAGAACACGAATAACACTCTTGTACAATAAGGGTGTGATTGGTTGCAATAATGGATTGAGCATGATATAATCATCTTGATCTTATCAAAGGCTATCCACCAATTCAATTAGCCTATATCTTGTTTGGTTTAGAGTTGCAAATAGTATCATTAAAATAAAATTACATTTATATCCTTCATTTAAAATTATTTTTTCAGAAATTAATTTTAGGAATTGAGATCTGGAAATAGAGATGGCGTTCTCCATGCCCCCGCCTTGCCCTTCCCCACTAGCTGCAAGATCATCACCGGAACGGCCAGGGTCGCCGACAGTTAGGACTGTAAACGAGCCGAGCCGAGCTCGAGCTCGAGCTCTTAACGAGCCGAGCCGAGCTCGGCTCGTTAAGTAAACGAGCCAAAAATTGAGCTCGAGCTCGGCTCGTTAAGGCCTCGAGCTCGAGCCTTAACGAGCCGATCTCGAGCTTCAACGAGCAGAACTATAAAAAATTACATAAATTTTACTTTTTGAGCCTTAACGAGCCTTATCGAGTCGAGCCGAGCTCGGCTCGTTAACCAAACGAGCTTTAAATGAGCTCGAGCTCAGCTCGTTAAGGCTTCAAACTCGAGTCGAACTGAGCCTTAACGAGCCGAGCTCGAGCCCAGCCGAGCCAGGCTCGTTTAATTTAACAGCACTACCGACAGTACGCAGCCGATTACCATTAATTTTCGATTGCGAAGCTAATTGCGCCGTTGAAATCAATCCCCACACCGATAAGCGAGAATAGAGAACCAGGATGCCATCGAAGCTTTTAGAGAGGGACAAAGACTGATTCTTGGGCTATATCTTCCCGAGCTCTGTTCTTTTCGCGGGTCAAGGTCGGAGGAGGCGGGGGGAGGAGGTGCCAACAATGAGAGACGGTGGTGGTTGCCGACGTGGTGGTGGTCGCCGTTGTGGTGGGAGAGATTGATGGCGTCGATCTGGCGGAAGAAAATGGGGAAGGCACAAAGAAGATAGAAAAGGAAGATGGGCAAAAGAGGGAATAAGAAATGTTACACTGTCCCACCAATTTGGTGGGATATAGTAATAACATTTTGAGGGATGTTGGTTCGGGCTTGGCTCAATTTTCAGGGCCCTAAAATGTTCAACCAAACAACTTAATACTCTTGATAGAATAACAAATGTAGTGATATCAAGCCTAATCAATCCAACCAAACAGACCCGAAAGGATTAGAGAAATATCATGGAGATGAAGCTTAACAAGAAGATTAGCCCGATTCTATACAAATCCTTTAGAACTCACAATAAAAGCTTCAATCCAAAAAAAATAATTAACTTCCCCCATAGTTTTTGATATGGCATTAGGAATAGCTCGGTATTCCGGCTTGAGCACTAAGCTTGGGTAGGCTGGGCCAGGAGGGTAGCCTGTCCAGTAGTAAGTAACCCAGTCAACGAGGTATCGACTTGGGAAAGATATCTGACGTCAAGGTATTGAGGTCATAAGACCTGAGGTCAGTTTCGACCTCGGCTAAAAGTCGCAACAAGCCTGTCAGGAGGCCGTCGTTAAAGTCTGGAAACCTAAGAGCTTCATAGTTGTTGCGCAAATTGTCTCAAGATTCAGTTTGAACTACAATCGGCCAACTCAGACCGGGTCATCGTTTCCGACGACCCACAAAACGTCGGCATGGGTCCCGACAGAAAAAACTCTAACGCTCAAGTCAGTCCGTTTTCCATGATAAAAAAAGTTTGTATATGGATTTACGCGTATATGTGTTAAAATGCGAACCTGGACACCTTTTTATAATTAGGGTTGCGTGCTGGCTAAATGACTTCTGGTATGGTAAGAAATCTTCTCGTATCTTTTTTCTTAGCTAACTAATTTTTTCTATATCTTCAGTATTCTTGAGGATATACATTTCTCATATTTAAGGGATTCTGTTCGCTCGAGGTACACGATTTCTAGGTTTTCGTATCATAACCGTCTTGTAGCGATCTCATATCTGATGCTAGTACTTCGAGGTCGTCATCCGACATAAGGGTCTCGAGGCCGTCATCATTAATCAGGGACATTTGAGGTCGATAGACCTGAAAATGCTGAGGTATGATGACCTCTTGAGTCCTTGAACTGTCTGATACCGAACTAGCGTCTCTTATTCGAGCCACTGAGATAAAACCAGACTATTTTAGCTAAAGACAAATTGTTCTTTGTTTAACCGACATATTCTATATTCTCTATCATCTAGCTCCACCATTCTTTAGATGAGCTTATAGTACTTTTCAAAGAATGTGGAGGTAATAATCAAAGCAGAAACCGCGCGTGGATCAACATACGCGCCCCTTCATGTTTCCTGCATTCTACAAATGTCTACATATCTTTTCAGTTCCAACTTCTCCTACACGCGTCCATTTCACACCGTAGACCGCCTTTCAAAATGAGCGCCTCTGGCCGGATGACCTTTTAGTCTTCTTTCGTATGTCCCAATACCTTTCCAACCCGATCTCTATGTGATACGACAACTTCGATCTCCCTCATAGTCTCACGAACGATTGGTTATTTGGAAAGAACAAAGAAGACCATGTGTATTGAAATGCTATCTTCTCTTTCGTTTCCTAGAACTTCTCATTTTTTTATCTCTCTCTCTCTCTCACTCACAGTTTTTGGCCTAGAATTATGAGTGAAATCACGTGTGTTATTAATCGATACTCCTTTCTAGACTTTGTGTATTTATAAGCTACAATAGTGATCTAAGAAAATGTGTTAAATCAAGACTCCTTATCTTATGGGATTAGGTAACTTAGGTTATCGTCCACCTATACCAAATCCACATAAATAATATTCCATTTCACTAAAGCAATATTATTAAACTTTCTATATAACTCCGAGTTATAATTAGTTCATCTCCAAATTTATTCACTCCATTTATATCTTCATGTTTAAGGTCTGAAGTTTGTTAATTAATTTAACTACTGACAGTATAATTTGTTAACTTCTTTTATTCGAAATTAGTACCACTTAACCTTTCATTATGTCGAAACTTAATCCACATGCAAGGTTTAGCACGTCTTGAGCTTACTTTGGGGAGATCGCCAACCCAGCGCACTAGTACAAAGTGACGGTAAATAATTTCAACAAAACGTAATGCATTTAATATTATCCAAACACCTAGTCTATTGATCCAACTGTTAGATCTCAATTTTTGGTAAATCAAAGTGATAGATATTAAATGCACATGACCATTCATTATCCTACAGTTTAAGATGCGAGCAATAACTGAGATCTAGATTTTTACTTGATCAGTATAAAACAATGTTATCTACTTGGCCCTTGTAATGCATTCAAAATGTACTAAATATTCATTTGCCAAGATAAACTAATTCAAAATTACCTATGTCGTGAACCATACTTTATATTTTACAAGGAAGCAAATATGATCTTCTATTCGACACATCGAACCATATAATCTACAATGTAAAATAATAGATGAAGCACTTTTGATTAAACACGATTCTCATTTAAAATTGGATTGAAAATATATAGATTTGTAAATAAATATATGCTTTTAGTATACAAACCAACACCCCACATGTAATATTCACTTATGTTCTCGTAAAATTCATGCAAATAAGAGAGAAGAACATGCGTGAGATTCTAGGAAAGAAATTGAAGATAGTGTTCCATATCACAAGATCTCATTTGTTCTTTACCAAAAACCGAATGTACATGAGACTTTGAGGAAGATTTTAGTAGTCCTTACCCACAAAGATGAGCTTGGAGATGTTTTAGGACATTGTTCGCAAAATAATTTTACTACCCGCAAGTGTACGGAGTAGCTGCAGAAAGCGGC